AACATACATCTGTGGGTAGGGATGGTGGAAAAGCTTCATATCAGCCAACAAAAGGCGAGGGAGCAGACAGTGGAATGGATCAACTGCTCAAATGCAAGTTCAGACTAAAGCAGAAGAAAATTAAAACAGTCCATGAGAGCCAAAATATGGCCTGGAACATATACTCTCTGAATATAGAACTTATTGCAATTACAGGTTTCATACATTAGACCCTAATGACTGAAACCAGAAGAGTTATGGGATGACATCAAGAATATCATACAGGAAGAAAGCAAAAGGTCATTATAAAGACTAGAAAAAAGAAGAGACCAAAATGGATGCCAGAAGAGACTCTGAAACTTGTGCTCCAGCATAGGTGATGCAAAAGTAAATGGAAGAAATAAGGAGGTAAAAGAGCTGAAAAGTTCCAGAAGGTAAAGTCAAGTATTATAATGAAATGTCCAAAGACCTGGAATTAGAAAACCAAAAGGGAAGAACATGCTCAGAATCTTTCAAGCTGAACTAAAGAAAATATTCATGCCTCAACTTTCAATATTGAAGGACTTCATGGTCAAAATATTGAATAATGCCAAAAGCATCAAAAGAAGATGGAAGGAATACACAGAGTCACTGCACCAAAAGAAATGGCAGATGTTCAACCACTCAAAGAGGTAGCATATGATCAAGAACAGGGTACTTGAAGGAAGAACTACACAGTGCACTGAAAGCATTGGCAAAGAAGAAATCTCCAGATATAGATGGAATACAAAGTGAAATCTTTCCACAAACTGATGCAGCACTGGAGGCACTCACTCATCTATGCCAAGTAATTTGGAAGACCTGGCCAACTGATTGGAAGAGATCTATATTTGTGCCTATTCCAAAGAGAATGCAGAAATTGGACAATATTATTAATATCACATGCAAGTAAAATTTTGCTAAAGATCATTTTAAAATGGCTTTGAAGGAACATTCTGGTTGTACTTCTTCCAACACAGATTTATTTGTACTTCTGGAAGTCAATGATACTTTTAATATTCTTCTCTAACATCATAACTTAATTCTTCTACTGCCTTCCTTAACTGTTGTCTAACTTTCACAGGCTATTGAAAATACCATGGCTTGGGTTAGGCACACCTTAGTCCTCAAACTGACATCTTTGCTCTGGAACACCTTTAAGAGGTGTTTTGCAGCCAATTTGCCTAATGTAATACATCTTTTTATTTATTAACTGCTGCTTACCTGGAGAAGGACTTCATGCCAGGTAAAGTGAAGGGTCAATGAAAAAGAGCAAAGACCCCCAACGAGATGGATTGGCACAGTGGCAGCAGCAATGAGCTTAAGAGTAACAATGATTATGAGGATGGCGAAGAAACGGGCAGTGTTCTGTTGTTCATAGGTCACTATGAGTCAGACCTGACTCAATAGCACCTAACAACAACAACAAGCTCTTTCCACCCCAACCTCACTGACCTCTCCAGTCCCAGCTCCAGGGACTTCTCCCCTACTTTCTCCCTCTTCATCCCAAACTGCTGTATCCCTCATCACACTAGCCCTTTTACGCCATCCTTTTTCTTCCATCCTTGCAGCCAGTCTGCCTGGAGGCATCCCCACCTGCCTTCTCCAGTGGAGTCTCAGCACTGGGTACACACTACTAAGCACAACCTTGTCTGGTCCTCTTCAGGTAGAGCCCCAAAGGCAGGCTAATGCATATATCTTGACATCCTGGAGCCTAATACACTGCTGGTGTTCGATCAACACTGCAGTGGTGTCTGAGATGAACATGAGAAAGAACCCCCAGGAAATCTGTAGGGAGAGCACAAACTTTTCCTTAATTGAAAAATGAATGCAGTCCTCAATAACTATGACTTATTTGTGAATAACCTCTGGGTGCCAGACACTAAACTGATTACCCAAATTTAAAGAGTAGAGTGCTCCTAAAGACTCTAAAACTTGTATCTCTAGTGCAGGCCACTGCCCCAAACTCTAGACTCACACACACAATCATCTTGCCAGTGTATCTACCTCCAGGCTTGAGAGGCATAGCAGATTCCACATGTTTTAACTGAACCTCTGATATCCCAGCCTAGCCATTTATCCACCTCAGATAATGGCTGTTCCCTTCTCACAGCTGTCCAAGTCCCAAACCCTGGAATTATCCTTGACTCTTTCCTCAGTTCCACAAGACAAGACCTATTGGCTCTACCTTGTAAATAGATTTAGAACCTAAGCATTTCTCACTCTCTCCTCTCTTATTATAAGCTTCACATTTGCATTATTGTAATAACTTAACTGTTTTCCCAGCTTCTGCTCTGTCCTTGCCCCAAAGAGGCAATTCTGGACAGAGCAGCCAGAGTGATCTTTTCAAAAGAAAGGTTAGCTCATACCACTTCTCTGCTCAAATCCTCAGACAGATTCCCTTCCCACCCAAAGTCCCTTCTGTGCCCTCAGAGCCCTGCATGACCCTAATCTCATGTGACCTATGAGCTCAGCTCCTACCACTCTCTTTCTCCATCACTACTCCAGCCCCACTAGCCACCTCACTTTCCCTTGACTTCTTCCTTATTTTTCTCAATGCCTCTCTAAAGTGTTTTGATACATTTCATTATCAGTTTTCTGAATTCCTTCTTAGGTATTTCCAAAGCCTGCCCTCCTTCCAATGTGAAGTCTAGGTCTACCTCCAGTTCATATGTCTCAGTCACTTTATCTTGTTTCTGGACATGTCCAGACTTGGTTATCTGTTTCTTGGGCATATTCAGTAGTTAGGTGTGACCTTACTACTTAAATGAATGTATGATGGTATTTTATTATGCTCTCTGATTGCCTCCAGGTAGATGTGATCAGGATATGGCTTCCCTTTTCACTCTTATTACTTGACTCAGAGTAACTGTCTCAGGTGTTGGCTGGCTCCCTGGTATATGGCAGCTGGTATTGGTTCTTGCCTGGATGTAGCTTGAGTCTATGACCGCAATTGCTGTCTCTTCTTGAGTAATGTAGGAAGAGAAAGAGCCCCCTAAAGGTAAAGAGGGGATCAAAAACAAAACAGCAACAGCAAAAAAGACAGATTGGATACTGTAGTCTATAATCGCAGAATAGAGAGAAGAGAAAAGAAAAATTTTTTTTTTTTTTGGAACCAAATAGGAGTATGACTTTAATGTCCCTCTCTCAGCTTCTTGTCTTCAAGGCCACCTGAGAAATTTCAAGATGCCACTGCTGGTTGTTATTACCTAACTCAGGATTTAATATTCTGCCTGTTTCCTTTGTAGTCTGTCTCTTTCCCGCTCCACAATCCGTTCAGGCCTTTTTCCTAGTGATAAACAGTTCAGGGTCGGCTGTGGCCGTTATGTGCTGCTATTTGGTTTTAAGCAGGGCCTTTCCCTTTAAATTCTGCTAAGCAGATCTGTGTACATGCATAGTGAACCCTCTGGGGGTGGGGTGTCCACTCACTCAGGCACCCCCTCTAGTCACCAGAATGGACGTACACACACAGCGAGAGAGCAATGAACAGAGACAAAAAAGAATGTCCACACCTTTATCTCCAAGGATGGTCAGGCATCAGGCATCCACAGTGGCTCTGATCCTTCCCCTACTCTGTCTCACCCAAGATGGCTGCTCTGGGAGCCACAGAGGCTGCCAATCAGAAAGCACTAATTTCTTGCTTCCGTTACAAATTCCACTGGCTGTAAGCTTTCAAACTTTCTAAATATTCCTTTATATGTGGTTCAGAGTTCTGGAACTGTTCCCTTGAACTTGCTTTGTCCAGAATTCTGTGTTATTGCTGATAGAGGTCTTCACTGTGCTTCTCCCCGATCTGCCATCAAGCCCCACCCACCCTCACTTTTCCTTGAATGCACCAGATACCGTTTGACCCAGGACTTCTGTGCTTGCTGTGCCCTCTGCCCAGAAAGTTCTTCCCCTGTAGAATCTTCACACCTCTTTCCCTCAGTCACCTTCTCTGTGAGGCTTTTCTTGAGGATTCTACTGGAGCCTTGAGGATTCTAGTGTTGGCCCATCTCCTCCTCTCTAGATTAGCCCCATCGGGGCAGAAGACATATGAGTCTTGTTCACCTGTTTCACCATAACATGGGAGTCTCTCAGTAACTATTTGTGGACATGGCAGCATCAAGAGACAAGCCCAGGACTGCCCAACTCTAAAGCTGCTCTCCTCAAAAGTCTGGAGATGGTTTAAGAGGATGTGGTCATAGTAAGTAAGCTTTTTATGGTGTGGACAGAGGGCAGCTGTGGTCCCAGTGGGTGAGGATTTGATGGGCTACCTCCAGCGCCTCCCAGGGCTCTCCCTAACATCCAGGGCTGGGGCCACCTTCTGACTCATTGTCCTCTCAGCCTGAGGAGTTCTGATGCCTAAGGCATAGCGCCACAGTTCCTCACGCCCTGGCTTCTTGGCTGCTAGCCAGAAACACCTGGTTTCTGACCCTATTTGCCAGGCTTCACCCAAGACCTGCCTACTTAAGGCACAAGCATATGGATTGGGTCAGTTGTAATGTAGAGCCACTACCCTAAGTCATGATTTGGAAGAAGAGGATATAGTCACATAAGAACGCCAGCAAAAACAGAAGTGCTGCAGCACGGCTGAAATGCAAGGAGGTGATGATGGGTGGCTGTGCCCTCCACACCATATACATGCCCTCTCCAACCAGTTCTTCCACACCTGACCCTTCCTTGGTAGACACAGCAGAGCTCAGGCCTGCCTCCTGGGTGCAGAGAACTATGTAAGTGGAGGGGAGACAGAGGAAAGGACTAGAGGGAGTAGGAAATGATGCTTGGGCTGCTCAGACTAATGATCACTGGGGACTGAGGAAGTAAGCACATTCCTTCCTATGTGTGACTAAAACCAGGTCTATTCAACAAGGTCACCACTGCTTGAACTCAAGCACCACCAGGCCCAGAGGGTGGGGCAGAGTGGGACAGAAAGGGAAAAGTAAGTGAGACTGTCAGCTTATGAAATGCCACACCATACAGCTGACCGAGGTTAGCAGGAGTGGATGGGGAGCAGCACATACCCTTCCTCTGTCTCGTTGATGATGTCGCAGATCTCCATGTTCAGTGTCCAGTCCTCACTTTGCAGGGAGCCATCAGTTGCCTTTTCTGTGAAATTAGAGTGAAAACTGGTTTACAATTCCCCTGGAATGAGGGGCCCTGGCAGGAAACAAGAAGAGGCCAGAACCACATTTTTCTGCAAGCAGATGGCAGGTGCAGTTCTGGGGGTGCAACTGGGAGTGCAACTTTCACAAGAGAACACCCAGGGAAAGATCTACATCTGAGGGACAACACTGTCATTCACTCACCAAACTCCAGGCTAAAAAGCTTATGACAAGCCTACACCATCAAAAACCACAACAGACCAAAACATGTTTAAGAGTCTACAGACTGTGGAGCCAAGCTACTTCGGTTCAACGCAGGCCTCAGTACCTCCTAGCTGTGTGATCTCTATCACCTGTTTCCTCATTTGTAAGCTTGTGACAATCACAGTATAATCACTTAAGGCTGTTCTGAAGACTGGAGAAGTTCACACATGTATACAACACTTGAATATATATACATATATATACTTGAATATAAAGGAGCTCTGGTAGCGTAGTGGTTACGAATCGGGCTGCGAACCTTAAGGTCAGCGGTTCAAAACTACCAGCCGCTCCGAGGGATAAAGACGAGGCTTTCTACTCCCGTAAAGATTTACACCCTCGGAAACCCTGCACAGGGTCGCTATGGGTTGGAACCGACTCGACGGCACTTAACAATAACAACAATACTTGAATATATATACACTCTATAGGTATCTGCTGTCGTTATTATTAAAAACCAGCTTCAATAGCTATAAAACACATCTGGATGAGGGGGCAAGGGAAAGGGGCAGAACTTACTGAGCCACCACCAGGCATGGTGCTGGGTGCTACACATACTTAATTTACTCTACAAACTGACCCTCCACACTTAAAAACAAGCAATGGGGGCTCAGAGAGGCTAGGACACTTGGCCAAGATCACATAGCTGATCTCAAGTCTGTCTTTAAAACTCAGACATTTGAATGGCAATGCCCACTTGCTAACAAAACCAGACTGCAGATCTGAAGTTGATAAATTTGAACACCCTGTCCCCCACCCCACCCCACCCCCAACACTACAATTCATGAAAGAGCTAGCACCACCATCATTTTACAAAAAGCTTAATACAATTCACACTTCCACAGATATTGGAATAAAACAGATAATCTCTTTATGCTGAAAGTGTCCTTATTTTGGAGTCCCTGGGTGGCACACTGGCTAAATATTTGACTAGAGTGGAAAACTTGGTAGTCCAAACCCACTCAGGTACCACAGAGATGGGCCTGCTGATCTGTTTCTGAAACTGCCCCTCTGAAGCAGTTCTGCTCTACACACATGGGCTCTCCTTGAGTCAGACGTGACTTGACCATAAACCAGAAGCAACAGTCATTTTATTGGATGCAACTGTAAAGATGTGACACTTTTGACAAGACAGGCTAGGATTCAGACACCCAAGCACAGGCTGTACTTACAAGCTGAGATAACATATTTACTCCCAAAGAAGGTGTGCCCTCTTTATGCCTTCCGTCTGCATGAACAAGATCCACTATTGGATCCAGGCCTCATTTTTTATCAAAAAGGATACGCCTGTAACTTTTTCACCTGCCTTCTTCATCAACAGAAGACTTGTGACTGCCTTGGGGAGCAAGGTGAGATTTGGGGACTGAGCAACAGTCTCAGATGAACTGGTCTGGCAGACACAAAAGCAGTATTTATTATCTGCCCAGGTTCAAGCACTTAGCAGTCTGAAACCACCAGGCACTCCCAGGGAGAAAGATGAGGCAGTCAGCTTCTGGAAAAGATTGCCAGCCTTGGAAATCCCTATACAGCAGTTCTACTCTATCTTACAGGGTCACTGTGAGTTGAAATTGACAACAGCAAAAATGGGTTTCAGATTTTGTTTTTTGTAAGATGAGAAAAGTATAAGGGCAGGGGTGAGGGGATGCTTCAGAGTCGATCTGCCCTGGAGACTACTGGGCCACCTCCACACCTGCTTCCTGCATGTGGAAATAAGGGTCCTTTTGATCTAAGCAGCAGAGCCAGTATGCAGCACCCCAGGGTCTGTAAGGCAAAGCAGAGGCACCTGGGAGGGCAGTGCAGGGGGAGGTCGGGGTGGGTGGGGGGTGGGGGGGGGGGAGAGGCCAGAGGCTAAGGCCGTGCAGGCTCTCACAATGGGTCCTGGCAGGCCTTCAGAGTCCTCTGAAGTTCCCGAGCTGCAAAGGCGTATACAACTCCCACCCGCTGCTGCTCTTTCTGCCACAATCAACTGCCTCTGGACACTCCTCCCTGCCTCAAGGGTGGTCACTCACTGCCTGGGTCACATACCACAGGGGCCACATCTGCTGCTGTAAATCTAGAAACTGCCTCAGGAGGAAGCAGTGATACCTCTGGGCCTGGACTGTGACTCTTCTGTGCCAGCACATGGTGATGCCAGTCTGCTAAAGGGCCCCTGCACAGAACCAGCACAGCACTTCGTGGGGAACAATGTTCCATCCCTGCACTTTGCTAGGGCCATAGGGGCATTGTCTTGGGAGTTTTAATAGAGGAAATATTCAATCAATGAAACCTCATTTCCAAGTTCAGTTCAGCAGCAGAATCCATTAACCTACAGCCACCCTATCCCTCCTCTAATAATGCCGGGAAGGGGTTCAAAGGCATGGTAACTTACTCTCAGGGTCAGCACATTCTATTCAATTACAGGATTCTAAGTATTCAAGTGAAAGGATACCTGCTCATTTTGATTACAAAGAACCAGCCCAAAATGAACATTTCTCTAATTTTGCTGAAAAATGTCACATAAACACATTGTGGATATTTGACTAACACATATGAGGGAAGTGAGGCTGAGGGTGGTGCTCAAATCAATTCATATTTTTCTCCTTTCATAAATGAATTTCCAGCAAATGGGAACAAAGTTGTATCAGACTGTCCCTGGAACTAAGACCACTCTGTGTGGGCTCCTTTACTCGGTCCTGTTCCTAGGCCAGAGTAAAGCTAAATTCAATCTCATTCTTGTTGTCTGATAAATCGTCAAGAATAAAGCTTGCAACAGCAGAAACACAATGCTCTTGAGGAGCAATGGGGCAGTCATTCCCACCAGGAAGCCCTTGTGGGTGGTGGGGGGTGGGGTGGTTGATAAGGTCAAAACACCACTGACCTCTCAGAGGCCTCCAGGTACATGCTTAGCAGGAAAGGGCTGGGCAGGGCTGGGCAGAGTAGCAGGACTGGCAGGGCTAGGCTGGATGGGGCTGGGCAGGGCCACCTGGCCAGGGCAGCCAGGGATTGCCCAGTTCCAGGGCAGTCACATACAGTTCACATTAAACTTTCAACACCAGAACAGCAATGTCACCCTGACTTTGTCACCAGGACACTTCCTCCATTCAGAAAGGGCGGCCTCCTGCCTAGGATGAAGCCCAGGCCAAGCCACCCTGCAGCCTCAACACTGGCAGCAATGAGAATGCCATGGTGCAGGGCTTTTCTGGGCCCCCTGCCCTCCCCTCCAGCAGTCTAGACTCTGAGATGGTCTGGCTGGGAGGGGCCTCACAATCCAGTGGTCTGGATTCTCAGCTGCTGTTTCTGCACTTTGATGTTAAATACAGTGACTGCAGAAGCAGGCACCAGGAGGCAAAGGAAGTCTGTATTAGCATTTTGCAACAGTAGCATCCTTCTGTAAAAAATGGAGGGAAAAACCAGCCAAATTATCTACCTCTTGGATAATCACGCATGTAGGAACCCAGAGAACGATATTCAGGGTCACTCTGTGATAGGTGTGGAGGAAGAAGACAAAGGGCTTTTATTGCTAGGAAACTTATTTAGCAATATGCTACAGGAAGATGAGAGGAACCTTCCAGATTCCTCTATGCTAGTAAGGGAGGATGAATTCTACAAGTCAGGTGGGAAGGAAAATCAATCCCAACATTCTACACACAGAACCATTATTGCCTTTTACTTCAGAATTCCAACCTGCTCTGTGAATGTTAATTGCAGATGCTCCCCCTTCCACTGGAGAGGCAAGAAAATGAATTTCAAGGACTCACTCCTACTTTACAGGATGCCCTTTTCTGTGACAGTTGTCCTACTCCTCCCTCTTCCCCCTTAAAGGGAAGATTACAGGTTCAGCAGAAGTTGTTGTTGCTAGGTGCCTGATTCATAGTGACCTCATGCAGAGCAGAACAAAACACTGCTGGATCTTGGGCCAACTTCACTATTGTTGCCACGCTTGAGTTCATTGATGCTGCCACTTGGCCAATCCATCTCGTTGGGGGTTTTCCTCTTTTTCTCTGACCCTCCACCTTACCAAACATGATATTCTTCTCCAGCGAATGGTCCCTCCTGACAATATCTCTTGATTGCATGTTTGATCAATTTCAGATTGAAGAAGTTGGTAGAATTCTTCTATTTCATCCTCACTGGCTTTAGTGGTTGGTGTGTAAAT